TTAATTGTATAAAAAATTGAGTCCCAGTAAAATGAGTTGGTTTTCTTATATTTACATTGTATAATAGTTTTTAATGTGATGAACAAAAGATGAAGACAGGTTCAATAATTGATAGTTTTTTATTTATGATGTTTCAAAGGTGCAAAATTTGTGCTCGCACAAGCTATGTAAGACTATAGAAGCTATGTAAGACTTCTACTCTTCTACTTCATATTTCTCACACGATGTCTCACATAGCTTCTAGTAATAAGAAATTCATAAAACAATAGAAATCTGATATAAGCGATTCCAAAATTCATTATCTTCAATTTTGGAATTACTCTGTTAACTCGTTTCGTAAGCGAATGTAAAATTGTTTCATCATCACTTCTTCATTAGCGTTTATTGTCAATATTCTTTAATTTATGTAAATATCTTTACATTTTAATGTACTGATGATGGTCAAATCTTGACCAAAAAACATTTATCTTATCATAATATAATTTTAAATATATGATTTTCGATGAAAATATCTAGTGCTGTGGCTGTATGCTCCCTATTATTTATAAGAATTTAATGTTTAATTTAATGTTTATTTAAAACCTATTTTTTTTTCAAAACAATGAAGTGTTGTAATCTGTTGTCATCGGATTCGTGTTCAACAAGCAAGAATACATTGAAAATAATTATTCACACTCGAGTTGCAAAAAAAGATCAAATTTTGTTGGACAGATTGTGACATGAGAAAAACGTTATATTCAAATTGCTATAACTCCTAAACAAAAAATCATACCGTTATGAACCAAAATAATTTTCAAAGTTAAAAGTTAATACTGATATGTAGCATTAATGAAATTAAACAAAAAAATTAGTTGCCGGTGTTACAACATTTTAAAGCCGTGAAATCATCGTTCGGCCAATTTTTCTCAAAATTGTGACATGTTATCCAACATTTGCCAATGAGTATGTTCAATAAATAAAAATACATTAAAAATGACCATTCACACTTGTATTACAAAATAACTGTTGGACAATGTAATTAGTATGGCAATTTTTATATGAAATATTCATAATAATTATTATTTTTTATCTACTTGAGTAAACATCAAAATTGTTCAAAACATGAATAATAATATTAATACACATGCAATTACAAAGCATTTTTAATACTAAATTTATAACATATTTATAAATACGGATAAATACTTTCTCATAAAACTAATATTATATTACAAAGAGAATAAACTCTCCGATAAAACGAATTTAATATATACACGTTTCTGTTTTTTATGAAAAAAATCTATATATAGATTTTATTTTCATTACTTATACATCAATAATTAAATACGATATATTAAAATACAGTTTTGTTAATAATTCTCAGAAACTTTAATAACTTTAATAACTTTTTATAACACTACTCAAGGTTTAGAAAAATTTTAAAAATACAAAAGCTTCAATTATTCTTTAATGTTATAGTCAATATTAGTACTCACATTAAATTGAATATAAAAAGTAAGATATATATATATTTATATATGTATATAATTTTATGGAAATTTAATTTTGCAGGTGTTTATCGTTCGAGCATAAAAGACATCTATATTGATATAAACTACATTCCAGACTTGCATAACATTGAAAAAACTGATTGCACTTTGGTCCTAGGAGGAGGTATAACCTTTACCGTAGCACTACAGACATTTCAAAAATATTCATACGACATCGGATTTAAATATCTAAGTCAGTTGGCTCAGTATGTAGAAATGATTGCAAATGTTCCCGTGCGAAATATTGGTACCATAGCCGGGAATTTAATGCTGAAATATCAGCATAAAGACTTCTCATCCGATTTGTTTTTGATGTTAGAGACTGTCGGTGCTCAAGTACACGTCTTAGAAAGTCCCTCCCAAAAGAAAAGTTTATATTTGTGGGAATTTCTAAACCTCCCCGATATGCACCATAAAATTATCTATAGCATTGTGTTACCATCGCTAGATGATTTCAAGTACGTATGCAGATTTTACAAGGTCATGCCTATAGCCCAGAACGCCAAAGCTCACGTCAACGCCGGCTTCCTCTTCAAACTTGACCTTGACGGCAAGGTAACGAAATCTTTACGTGTTAGTTATATTATTTTATTATTAATTACTCACTTATTTTTAATTTGCTTCAAGTTTTATTTGTTGATATTTACAATATTTTTTAAAAAGGTATTGGAGTTGCCTAACATTATCTTCGGTGGCATCGATACGAATTTTCTTCATGCAAAAAAAACGGAGAAAGTTTTGGTAGATAAATCTATCATCAAAAATCTACGTTCAACGCTTAAAGAAGCCTTGGATACATTGCATAGCGAAGTGTATCCTAATCATGTGCTACCGGATTATTCGCCGAAATTTCGCAAGATTCTCGCAGAAGGATTGTTTTACAGATTTATATTAAACATAAATCTGAACAAACCTAATAATATAAGTCCATTTTATCATAGTGGAGGTACTTTATTAGAACGAGGTCTTTCATCAGGTATACATAAAATATCCAGAACGTTTATGAAAATATATATTCATTATAAATATTTATCACGATTCATGCGACTAATATACTTATAAAGAGGTAAGATATACAGTGGTCAAAAGTTTCCGACCAGTTCGATTTTCTTCTATAATTCTTATAAAACAAAGAGTTAACAAATAAATATTTTTTAATGAAGAAAGGAAAGTTAAAATAGTATCATTGATATAGTTTATATAGTTTATTAAAGCAATATGAATTTTATTTACAAAAAAATTCAAAATTTACGGACAAAAATTCCCGACTGCATAGTTTTTTGTATTTTGTGGCGCTGTATCTTGTATCTCCGGCCTTGTGGCGTTTTTCACCCTGATTACAATTAAACAAAAAGGTCAATTTGTAAACAAGATGGCTCCACACAAATATTCAACTGCATGAAACCATTTTGCAACTCTGGAAACAAGAGAAAAACTCATGGACTATTGCATCAATAATAGAAATAAATAGACATTGAAAAATCAACGGAGATTGATCTTACAAAATATCACTCAGGATATGATTTAAAAGACAAACATCGAAGTGATTGTCTATAGAAAACAATTTTTCGAGTAGATAAGGTTATCAAAGGAAGTCTACTGCGGAAAGATAGCTAAGAGAGCCTAGAAAAATAGCAAGTAATATCGCTTGCAAATTAAAACAAGAAAATCATGTTTCGACACACAGTTTCGAAGCGATTGAACGATTTTGATCTAATGAGTCGCGTTGATGTCAAAAAATCTTTCATTAGTAAAAAAAAATCAAAAGGCCCGATTAGATTTTAAGCAACAGTGGACTCCGGAGGATTGGAAGAGAGTCACTTTTTCGGGCGAATCGAAGTTCAATTTGTTTAGGAGCGATTCAGCCTATGGACTTGATCAACTCGTTCACATTGAAGGAATAATAAACAACCCATATAAGGAAATAATCTCCTTCCATATTCGAATAATTTTATGTCAGAAGTATGGATATTTCAGCATGATAATAATCTCAAACATACGTTGAAGTTAGTGAAAGATTGGCTAGCATCGAACAGAATTCAGATGCTGAAGTGACCAGTTCAATCTCTCTCATCAGACCTTCCAATAGAAAATTTATGGAAAGAGCTTGGACATCACGTTGGGAGTTGAAATCATCCAAATTAATTTGCTTCAACATTTATAGGAAGAATGGAATCGAAAATGTCGTCTGATTTTTTGAAGAAACTGATTCAGTTAATCAGTGCCATAGTGCGCGTTGCGAGGATATTATCACTAAAGAGATGGTGATTAAATACTAAAATCATGGATTTAAGATACTTTTTTGTTAACTATCCACCGTACATAAAAGATTTTTTCAGCATTAAAAAGTGGCCAGGAACTTTTATCCACGTAAATTTTTTTTGTAAATAAAATTATAAATATAAATAAATATATATAAAT